TGACATGACCAACTGAGGAAACAGCTCCCTGAAAACACTTTGCTATCTTCTTATAGTCTCCTGCTCTGTGGGTATCAGTTATTTTACAGGAATGCCCCGTAATTAACAATATTAAGTGTGTTTGGATATTCTAAGCAATCAGCCAGTGATGTTGCTCCTTCTCATTCTCTTTGTTCTCTCCTGCTGCTTCCCAGTATGGGCTCTGGCCAGAGCAGTGACAAATTATACTGCAACCGCTATCTGAAGGGACAGGGTCCTCCATCACTGGTACAACAAGGTCCGTCACACACATGTGCAACAATTTGATGCATTTATCAAGCTTTCCATGATCTCATATTCACGTCTGGATAATTTGACTAAAACTAGCGTACTGTCTGTGCAGCTAATGCAGAGGTGAATGGGATGCACAGAAGAAAAGGCTGCCAGCCAGAGGGCCAGATGACCTGGGTGATCCTCCACAGAGACCTGCCGGGATTCCCTGATGACAACACCTTGCAGATAAACTACATATTCCCAGATGGAATACAGACAGTAAGCTTGGCTAAAACCATACTGTAAATATATTCAAAGAGTTACTGTGATTCACTTTCAACTAAATATCTAACAATTGGGGATGCATGGTGATAATGGCACATCATTGGTACCACTCAGTATCTGCTTTAAAATGAGCAGGGCAACGGTTCAGAGAATGCATGTATTTGTTTGTTGTGTATTTTTGAAAATAGCACAGAACATAAGTATTCACAAGAAACAACCATATTTTATCTCCTTACAGTCAACAGTCAGTGATCAGTCAGCTTGTTTATGAAAGAAACACTTGGGTTGCCATAAAAGTACAATAACTGCATCACATCAATCTGAATTATACGACAACACAATTTCCTGCGCAAAGAACAAAACAAACTCACAAATAAAATGAACATGCAGTAACACAAGAGGCGAAAATCACCCAACAGACGCAGACATATAAACAAAGAGTATCATTTGATTTGAATGAAAGACACTGAGAGAGCTCAGAGTGGAGCGCAGGTTTTTATGGGCAGCATTCCATTCACGAGAGAAGCTGATGATCTGGTTTGTCGGGTTGGCACAGCTCCAGGAGGAAGTGCTGAACACTGAAGCAGCAGCGCAGGGTTCACACTGCAGGAGGAGGCGTGCTTGGAATGTGTGGCACCACTCATGGCACTTTAAAAACAGATCAAGATAAGCTTTGTTTTGCATTTCTATGCATATATCAAGTCCATTAAAAAAACAGATTACCTGCTACTGTAACTGATCCAGCTACCTCGAATTCCCAGGTCTGATACAAAAAGTAAAGTAGTATGTTTAATGTAAAGTCCTGGAGGTTAGGTTAAGGCAAGTAGAGTTACTGTGGTTAGGGTTAGGAAAGGAAACATGGTGAGGAGGTCACTTAAAATGTTGTGCACTCTCCTTGGTTAAATCCTGTGTTTAGTGACCGTCCACATCCCCCTCCCTGCCTCCTAAGGCCCTGCTCACACAGGAAGTGTTTCAGCAGCTGGAGGCGACTTTTTGTAATTGTTTTTAATGAGAATGAAGCTTTTTGCTCGCTGTTTTCGCACCTCGTGTTTCTGCGCTCTAGATGCCTGGTGTTTTTATTTCTAGAATTCTCTCTCTCCTCTCTCACACTCTCTGCACAGCTCTGCCCTACTCATTCACTCACAAGTCCTCCAGCGACGCCAAGAGAGAGACACAGAGCTGCTCCTCTGTTATATCTGTTTATTAGTCTACAGTGTGACATCTGTGTGTGTGTGTGTTTCACATGCTACGCTAAATCAGTGTGTGAGATGACTGAAATAAGTGCAGCGGCACACGTGTGGTACAGTGCTGCGCTGTGTGTGTGTGAGACAGAGCTTCTTGATTGTGTCAGGTGAGCATTTGCTTGCTAGTATGTGTGTTAGGTGGATCATCCCTGTTCTTATTGGTAGTTGTAGTTTGTCATGTGACACTGAGACTGGATGTGTTTAGAAAAATGCAGATGTTTTTACAAGACGTATATAATGAGGACAAAGTGTCTCTGTCTCCGTCCCTCCCTCGGCCTCTCTGTTGGTGCTCTGTACAGAAATAAGATTAATAGTCTAAATAAATAAAAACATTTAAAACTAGCTGACCTATTACATCACAGACCAAACAAGTTAGCTACGGTTAGCTAGCAACATACTGACTGGCACTGAACATCTCTTCCTGCAGGAGCAACACCCTCACCCCGGCCAGCCTTACGCCGGGCTGCGGCTCTGCGCTTATCTGCCTGACAACCGCGACGGCAGGAAGGTTCTCAAGCTGCTGGAGAAGGCCTTCAACCAGCAGCTCCTGTTCACTGTCACTACCAAGACAAACGGAGAGGACATGGTCACCGCGACTTCCATCCCCCAAAAAACACAAGCAGACGCAGGAAACGGAGTGTGAGTACATAACCAACCACAGTCTTCCCCTGCTGCCCAATAATAATGTTTCTGTGACCTCTGTCTACGACCAGCAGTTATTGTGAGCTGAAGCACTGCGATGGTGTTCCTCTGAGGTGCAATTGTTGTTACCATGGTTACAGCTTGCCTGTATGTTGCTGCAAGGCTGAACTCCCAGTCTTGTTGTTGTCACGTCTCATCAAAGCCCCATACATTTTAAATTTTACATTTTACAAAACCAACTGCTTCAGTATTATCTGCCTTAAATCGAAATGCCTCCATGCCCTCAAATTCCCTGCATTGTAGTCTCAGACTTGAGAACCGACAAATTTTGTTGGATGTCCTCCATCTTTAGCGAGGCTACATGAATATTTATCGCCTGAAATAGCCTGTGTTGTGTTCATGTGTCATGTGTTGTCACTTAAAGAGATAGTGCACCCAAAAATGAAAATTCAGCCATTATCTACTCACCCATATGCCGAGGGAGGCTCAGGTGAAGTTTTAGAGTCCTCACATCACTTGCAGAGATCCAAGGGGAGAGGAGGTAGCAACACAACTCCACCTAATGGAGGCTGACGGCGCCCCAGATTCAAACGTCCAAAAACACATCA